CAGAGCCGCCGAGAGCTTTTATGGCGCCCGGGGCATAGCGTTGAGTAGGCGCCCCTTTAAGCAAGCATTATTTATTTATAAATTAATCAAATGCAATCATGCAAATATATAAAAATGTACAAAATTTTAAAATGAACTATTTTAACTGTGGTTAAAATCATTTTACGGCAGTATTTTCAAAAATTGCATCTTTAAAAAATATAACACAAATACAGCATAAAAATCATTATTAGACATTCTTTAGAAATTAAAATAACACGTTTATTGAAGCATTCACTTCGAACACAGATGCGTGTGCTGACAAACTTTGAGACTGGAGACGGTTTGAAGATAATGTTTTAATATTTTATTTATCTTCAGCTTACATGCAACTAAAAATTGATAAGAAATTCTGGGTTACCAAACTGTTGTGTTCCTTCGACAAAAGTTTGAATGAAGACATAATACCTCTTCGTCGCGTACTTGATCATTTAGAGATGTATGGGCTACATTGTAAGTGGTCTGCGTATCCAAAGGAGCTAGAGTTCTTGATTTACAGGTCGGAATGGAAAATAAAAAGTTGTGCTGGAGAAGAGAATGATTTTGGTGAAATTCCGAATTCACTAGCAAAACGTAATATCTTTTCTTTGTGCGGAAAAATGATAGGAAATCTTCCAGTTTGTGGTTGGTTGCGTTTAGCTTTGTCATTTGTTAAATGAACAGCAAACGCCCTGACAAAACCTTGGTATGAAAAAATAAAATGCAACTATTTGGAAAAAATGCTGATTGATATGGTTAAAAGAACACGTAATGACGATCCTGTAAAAGGAATTTGAAGTGTTTATAGTAATCTACCTAACAATCTGGGTAGATGTGATTGTTGAGGTTGATGGTATTATTATCAAAGACGCTTGTTGGTTAAGAAAAGATGACGCAACACATATAAACATGTCCAAACTTGATGCAGTATTTAAAAGGCTAAATATGGGCCTTTACTGAAAAATGGAAGCTATGCAGGTCTCCACTGATTTGAAAACGGTATTCCAATGGGTTAGCGACGCACTCACGGGAAAATCTAGATTGAGGAAAAAAGCTTTAAACGAAATGCAGATAAGAAAAAGACTCCAGAATATTGCAAATTTAGAGGAAGAATATCAACTTAAAGTAGATATTAAGTTTGTCGCTTTAGAGTTAAACTTGACCAATACGCTTACTAGAGCGCCTAATAGTTGGTTAAAAATAGTTGAGAAACCGTCTGAAAAGGCAGCAAGTGGTATTATTAGAACAACACTATCTTTCAAAGAAATCTAGCACGTTCATAGATCAACAGGACATTATAGCGTGAAGAAAACATTGTACTTCGTTTGTAAAATCGACCCGTCCGTAACCAAGGAAAAAGTAAAAAAAGTGGTTGAGAAATGCATAGCCTGTCAATCAATTGACTGAATCAAGTCCAATTAAATGGCTGAATAGGGAAATAGAAGTAATAAGAACGTGGCAACAACTTGGCATGGATATGAATCATTATTAGGAACAACACTATCTTACTATAATCGACTGTGAACCTACACGGTATGTGTTATGGCGCTAACTTAAAGATCAAACCAGTGCATGTGTTATTCAAGAATTAAACGAGATATTTCTTGAGCAAAGAGGTCCAGATAAAGTACTGACCGACAATGTACAGCACACTGTTTTCGCAGTTTGTAAATAAATGGAACGTTTAACTTATAATGGAATTGAAGAACAATGTCAGTCCTTGCAGCATACTGGAGGCAGTTTATTAGTATAATGTTAGTTCAAAAGAGAGTTGTAAGTCATCTGCTGCACCTGCAAATAAGTTTAAATACGAAATTAGAGTAAGAGGTATTGACAATAATAAGCACGTGGTCCTTATAAGAAGATAACCAATAAATTTAAACTTGGCGATAAAGTATGGGTTAAACCCCCGAGTAATCGAGGCGAGTCTTAATACAAGATTGGAATAATTACAGGGATAATCTCGGAGCAAGCGGTTAAAGTGAACAAAATGTGTCGACATGTACAAAGCCAAAGACATGTAAGACTTGACGACGATTTAAATAAAGATCTTTGACGAGTAAGAGGTGACAATGATTTGAATGAGGATCATGAAGATGATGAAGACCTATGCCTTGTGCTGCCCGGAGAAGAAATAAACAGCAATGTTACGATGAAGCAGGCGGGAAAGAAGGCCTCTGAGCGTTATAGTCCGTGAGGCGAAGTAGTCGTTTTGACCAAGGGGTAGTGTAAAGTGTAAATATAGTTAATGATCGTTTTAAAGCTACAATATATACAATGTACTGAACTAATAAAAATAAAAAATAAATTGTTTTTTGCTTTTTTTTCAAACACATTAATATTTGCTGGAAAAAATATCTGTCGTTCTTTTTTATTTTTTATTTTCGATCATTTTTTGGTTTTAGCTTGTGTTATGCTTTTATTTGTTTCAGTTTTTTTTTTTTTTTTTTTTTATCATTATTTATTTAAAATTTTTACTTTTACTTTTTTTTTAATTTTTATATTTTTAAAATAATTTTTTGATTTATTCTTTATTTTCTTTCCTTTTGATCTTTAAATATGCACATAAATAAGCACTTCTACCATTAGAGATGCCATTAGATAGAGTTGCATTGAAGAGAGTATGCTACTTTTGTGAGATTATATACTAAAATATAATCGTCCTTTTATATTATTCGTATATACATTTACATATGCATACAGAAAAAGTTCTCTCTGAAAGAAAACACTCATTGCACTACACATAATAATATGTAAGCATAAAAAACCGCTATTGTAAGTTAATCAAATTTGTTATTTATTCAATAAAATTATACAAATAAAACTTCATGTAAAATCGCAAAACATTAAAATTAAAAGTTGAACATTGTATAGTTTTGTATAGTATTAAATACTTAACCCCGGTGTGTGGTGATAAAAGTTTATGCTCGAAATGAGTGTATTAATTTATTTGAGGTAAATTAAATAAAGTAAAAAATAAAATTCGGATATTTGATAATAGAAAACAAATAATACTCATTAATACATACGCTAGCTACAACATTCCACTATCATTATGTAAACATTAATCATCACGCCAAATGTTCATGAAATTAATGCGAACGTGAAAGAAACGTGCCAAAAAAGGTAACGTGTCAAGCTATATATAACGGGGTATAGTATAGTAACGTGTCAGAGCTATATATAACGGGGTATAGTATAGTGTTGTATAGACCACAATCACACTTGAAAAAAAAAAAATTAATCATTTTTTGGCGCTCCTATTGTTTTGGCGCTCGGGGCACGTACGCCCCCTTTGCCCCCCTTCTTTGGGCGGCCCTGCAAATATCGATTGCTTAGGGGAAAGTGGGTGTACAAATATCAGGGATAAATGCAGTAGAGTGCTCATACGACTTAGTTTAAGGATAGTGAAATGAGCACACATTGACTGTAGTTTTGGTTTGTAGAGGTAGTATTCGAGTCCATTATTTCATTGATCTACAAAATACTATTTCATAAAATCGTTGCGAATAGAGTATACGATCAACTTTCTTTAACTTTAACATGATTCATAATTAAAAAAAAAAAAATGGAGATTTAAAAAGTTATTATTTTTTACTTAAAATTTCAATGGGAGCAGACGCTTTTTTTTATCTTATTACTCGAATATATTAACGAAGTTTGTCATACTCTTAACTATGGAAGTATCAATTAAAAATATTGAAAAGTCAATAAAAAAAAATGCTTGAAGATCATAAGGTATTTATTTTAAAAGAGACTGAACGACTTCATCGTGAACAAAAAATTAATTTTGTAAAAATAACGTCTGCCAACATGAAATTAATAACAGATAGATTCAATAAAATTGAAAATGAAATGCTGAAAAACGAACTAAATATTAAGAAAATGGAAAAAGAGATCGATGACTTAAAGGAAGGTATAAACTTTCAAGAAGAAATGGTTATGAAAAAAATTAACAAAATAAATCCTCGCATCAACAATCAGAAAAGAATCTCTAACGAAAATAAAAATATGGAATCAGAAACTATAAATATAATAAATGAAAAACTAAAGATCTAGAAAATCGTTTAAGACGAAACAATCTCTGAATTGATGGTGTCAAGGAAATTCAAGGCGAAACATGGGATGAGTGTGAAAAATTAGTTAAAGATATTTTTTAAATATTAAAGATATTCTAATAATCTTAAAACCAGCAAAGACATTATCATCTAAAGAGCACGCATGTCAGGTCTATTAAAAAAAGATAAAGAGCGAACGATTATCATCAAACTTGAAAATTTTAACGACAAAAAGTTAATTCTAAAAACTCAAAAAAGCTACGCGGAACAGGCGTGTTCGTAAACGAAGACTTTGCAAAGGAAACAATAGGAAAGCGTAAAAAACTCTTTTTTAGAATCATCCTAAAAAACGTTAAGACAAGTTTGGGCTCGGGGGTCCCATTTTTTGTTTTGTTGCGCCTCTGTTAAACTTAAATAAAACGTTTTCCTAATATCAATAATTAATTTCTTCAATTGCGAAACAACTATAAAATATTTCGCAACTAAAGGAATAACAAAAATAAAAATGCCGCAAATAATAATTATTTGCGTAAAATCTACAATTATTGCGTAAAATCTACAATTATTTACTAAAGTTTACAATTATTGTAAACTTTAGTAAACAATTGTAGATTTTACGTTTTGAATAAGTGAATAGAATTTTTGAATAAATAAATAGAACTTATTAAATAGAACTTGTTTCAAGCTAGTAAAAAGTTGTTTTGTTTATGTTAGGCGATTTTTTAAAATAAATTTACACTTTCCTTTTTTTTATTTAAGTTTTAAGTTTCATGAATTTAATATTTGAAGTTAAATACTATTAGACAAAATTTATTATCCAATAGCTACAGATTGCAATCGGATTATTTAAAACAATTTCAATTTTCGCATAAATAATAGTTTCAAATTAGATTTAATAAAATTTGTTTTAGTTATAGTAACATT